CGCGTCTTACTTTCTGCGCATGCGTACTCTCCGAGCTGCTTCCTGTGTCCCCCAAGCTGACGTCATCGTCTCCCCCCTGTTTCACCTCCGAGGTTCCCGCCCCTCGGTCTGTCCCAGAGTCCGACCCCTCCTCCTCTGACGTTGTGTTCGCCTCTCCCGCCGGCACTCCCGCTCTCCCCGCGATTCGAGCTGACTGTCGCACCGGATCTGACGTCACAACCGCACGCCTCCTGCGTCTCGCCGCGGCGGCCCTTTGAGCCTGCACATTTTCCCTCAGCCCGCCTTCCGCGCTCGCGTGTGAGTCTATACCCCGGTTTTTGCGAGTTTCGCCCTCCGCGCGCGTCTCCTCATCCTCACCCGCGCTGCTCGCATTTGCCGCCGCCGCCGCGTCGCCGCTTTCACCGCGAACAGGCCCCCCCCCCGATCCCTTATCTTCCTGCTCCCCCCCTTCTGCTCCTGACTCCTCCACACTCTCTGGAGTTTCAGGATGCCCTTGGGGTTTGTTGCATTTTTTGATCGGGGGTTTTAATATTTTTTCCTGCTCTCTTTTTTCGAGAGCCCTTTCCCCCTGGCTTTTTAAAGCCAGAGCAATTTTTTTCCCGGAACTTCGCCGCTCCGCCCCCTTCTCTGAGGGTGCCGCAGCTTCTCGCTGCTTTTCCAGTCTTTTAGACTGCACTGAAATACCTTGTAACATGATTCTTGCCGGCGAGAGTAGCTTTAACGCTATCTCATCTTTTTTTGTTGCTAAAATATATAAATGCCTATTAATTTCTTGCCAAAACCCCACTTCGAACAGCAAACATGTCTCCGCAAGTGGATAATTAGGCCTTGCCCATAATAACAGCTGTTTTAATTCTTTCTTTGGGATCCCTTCTGTATATAATTCTGCTACACTTTGTAAGGTGGATAAGATTTCCCGTTGTTCCTGGGAGAGTGAGGCCCCCATGATTTTATTTTGGCCTTCTTACCGAATCTGTCGTCAGAGTGGTCTGGAGGCTCCTGTTCTCCGTCCAGCAGATTACAAGAGATGGATCAGAGGCGCCTTTCTGGTCCCAGTCCAGGCCGCTCTGCTACGAACTGTCTTCAGCAGAAGCTGAGAGATGGGATTTCTCAGTGACTGCTGATTTTTGCAGCTTCTCCCGGCCGGTTTTTTCTTTTTCTTCTTTCTTTCTTCAGGCTTCTCTCCTCTGGAGTTATCAGTGCTGTTCTCTTGGCTCTTCAGCTCTTCAGGGCTTTTCCCCCCCCCGAAAGGTTTGGTGGGAGATAGCCCGCACAGCGGACGCCAGTTGTTGGATTTTGGTGCTGTCTGGATGGTCTGGGAAAAGCCCAAAGATGGCCTTGGGCCCCCGGGGTTCGAAAGGACGAGAGGAAGCTTCAGAATTGTTCTCGGTCTCGGTGTTTATTAATTGCTTATCTAAAAGATTTTCTCTTGGCCTGACAGAGTTCTGCTCAGCAGTCAGCCATGGGCACACACTGAGAGCCCCTGGGGCGGTCGTCTATCTTTATACCCAGAGTTACGTATACAATATTTATCATTTTTCTCCAATACCCTCTACCCTTATTAACCAGTGTTCCCCTAGTAAGGTCCAATCCCGGAGTGCCAACTCCACCACAGAAGATGGAGGCCTAGAGGAAGAAGAAGAAGGAGAAGGGCACGCCCCAATTCCTCCATCTTGCCTCTCTAGACCCCCCTGTACAGGGATCTTAAACCCTGTATCTCACACTCCAATTAACTTGTCCCTTCACCATTCACCCCAGTGAAATCCTCCCGTCCTCATACTGATGTCATCTCCCATGTGGGATCAAAGTCCAGCCACCAGACATTTCTGGCAACATTCCAGGACTCCCGAGCCCCCCAGGGGCAGTCTTGTTCACCCTGCACCCCAGTTCTGAGAGACTGAGATCCCACAGGTGCGGAGCTCAGCAGTGCTGAAAGCAGAGGCCTGTCCTTTGTGATCCCTTTGGGATGGCAGTGGAAGTGCCCTTAGTGCACAATCAGAGGCACCTTCATGGCTTCTCATGCCATGACACCAAAACTAAATGTGCAAGGTGGCTTCCTAGAATGACATGTAGTCCTTTGAAATATCTGCAGGCAGTGGTCTGAAACTGCTTTGTGAGCCTGCTCCTTGGGATCAGCTGTGAGGGGCTGAGGGCTGGCCGGAGGCCGGTGCTGTGTCCCACTGAGAGCAGCCGCACAGGCTCACGTGCAGAGCAGGCACTGCCAGAGGCTCTGGAGATCTCACCTGCCCTGCAGCCACCATTGTCAAGGTGCTGTAAACATCAGCTGGTGCTGACTTTCCCCTTGGACCCCTTGGTTTAGTCACTATGGGGAATTTCTTTCCTGAAGCCCGTGGGATTTCCCCCTGGCAGCTGTGATGGGGATGCTCGGGGAGTGTGGGGCTTAGGGGGCAGCTGCCCGGGCAGGGGCTGAGCTTGGGCCCCTGTTGGGCCCATGGCCCCCAGCAGCAGCAGCAGCAGCAGTAGCAGCAGCAGCAGCAGCCCTAGGGCCGAAAGCCCCGTGGCCCCTGCCCAGCACAGGCTGCCCTGTCCCTGCAGCTGTCACCCGAATGGGGCCCAAGGGCCAGTGGCCGCTGGCAGCAGCAGGAATGCAGGCAGGGTGAGGATGCCCTGGCTTGGCTTTTGTCTCGGGAACAAAGCGGGCTCAGGGCAGTGCAGAGCAGGCTGGGAAGCAGAGCCCAGGGCCTTTGGAGGCTGCAAGGCTAAAAGATCAGCCCCTGCAGCAGCCCAGATGCAGGTGGCCCAGTTGCCAAGGCTGTGGTGGCCTTGAGAGTGTGCAGGTGGATTTTGCATGGCTGTGGCCTGCTGGCGGCTCTGGGCGCAGGAGTGCCTGTGGCTGCAGCAGGAAGGGTGGCTGAAAGTTTGCTGGCTGCTTTGGTGGCATGGCTGCAGGGGCCAGTGCTGTGAGAGCCCCCTGTGTGAGAGCTGGTGAGAGCTGAGCTCTTGGGGACAGCGCTGTGCCGCAGGCCAGGAAGAGCAGCAGTGCCCAGTGGCAGGAGTGGTGTCAGTGGGAGCCCCTGTGCACAGGGACCCCCAGCCCCCGGGTGGCCGTGCCAGCACCCCCAGGGACCTCCAGCCCCGGGAACGTGGAACAAGTGGAACCCACAAGTGTGCATAGGCTGCCTGTGCCCAAAGGAATGGCCAGGAGAAGTCAGGTTTTAAAAAGAAACAGTATTTATTTGCCGAAGATCGGCAAATCTAGGATTTACAGAACATGTGTCATTATAACAATTGTTATAACAACAACAATGTACAGAAGATATTTACATGGGATCCGATGGGCTAACAATCTTCAAAACGTATTTACAAAAAACTTCCAACGTTGTAAACATATTTACAAGGAACTTCTAAACTTTGAACGTATTTACAAATGCATGGTATCTGTGCCATCTTGAGCCTGAGTCCTGGAAGAAAAGAAGCAGCAGGGCTGGACTCAGCTGGCAGCACTGGGCCCAGCAGGGCTGGCAGCTGGGCCCCCGGGTCTGGGCCGGGGCTGGCAGGGCTGGCGTGGCCCCAGGGAAGCGCAGGGCAGGCCGGGGCTGGTGCTTGTGTCAGCACAATCCAGGCCCTCTGTGGGCACCGTGTCCCTGAGCGGGGCCATCCAGCCCAGCCCCAGCCTGGCGTCAGGGGACCCAGTGTGTGTGTGGACAGGGTGTGGGAAGCATCTGCCTGTGTTACCTGTGAGGCTCCATCTTCATCCAAGGACCATGGGCTCCTCCTCATCCTCCTCATCAACTTCCATCTCCGCGATGTTATCCTCCTCATCCACCTCCATCTTGTCGATGTTGTCATCCTCCTCTAATTCCATGTTCTCAACCGGGTTGGACATGGAAGTAGAGGATGAGTCTACCTCCATCATGTCATCCTCGTCCAGACCCTGGTTCACTTCCATTTCCTCCACAGTCTCTCTGTCATTCTGCAAGGGGCAGCACAATATCCCATTGGGCTTCCTGTCCCCCACCATCCATTCCCACATGGCTGCAGCCTGCCCAAGCCGGGTGTCCCCTGCCTGGCATCGCACTGTACCTCCATTGGCACAGCAGTGCACATCCTGCTGGGATTGGCGCTCCAGAGCCGGCGGCAGGAAAAGCCCAGGCAGCAGCAGCACCTCAGCGCTGAGGTTCAGAGCCCAGAGCGAGTGGCAACTGACTCTTGGCAGCCGGTGAAGTGTCTGCTGTGCTCGTTTCCAGGTCCTGGACGTTCCACCTGGAACCCTCTGGGAGCTGTGATGTCACTGAAGTTTCAGGGCCACTGTGCAGTGGGAGATGGGGATGGCAGAATGATCAAATCCTTGAATGGTTTGGCTTGGAAGGGACCCTTAAGATGGTCTCATTCGAAGCTGAGCAAGCTCCCAGCACAGCAGGTTGCTGTGGGCCCTGTCCCACCTGTCCTTGGATGTTGCTGGGGATGGGGCATCCACAGCCTCTCTGCACTGGCCCCTGTGTCAGGGACAAGCACCCTGAGAGTAAAGAACTTCTTCCCATCATCAAATCTCTTCCATCTCTTGCAGTTTGATCCCATTCCTCCTTGTCCCGTCACTAAAGTTACTGACCAAGAGTCCTCTCCCACTTCTCTGTAGTCCCTTCCCTCATTGGAAAGGTGCTGAGGTCTCCTGTGACTCTCTGTACAATGTTCTTAAGCTGAAATCTGCAAGTTGAAGCTTGTAGGCCCTCTGCAGTTATATAGTGGCACTGGGGTGGTTCCTCAATTGCAACATGAAATTCTGAGGTATCAATTCATCAGCTGTTTTTATTGTGGTGGGATCTGAGAATTTGGGTCAGCAGAGCCCTATATTGTCAGGTGGAGGTGTCTGTGAGCCTGACACAGAATCCAGCACTCAGACAAATTTTTGCTTGAGTATGGTAGGTTTTTTCATTCCTTTCCTCCTGCCCTTAGCCGTTGCTAGAATGTCACAGTGAAAATAGAATTGAGGTCGTTTTTCACTCATTATATGTTCTTGTTTGTTTTGTTTCTTCTGCAAGGCTGGGCAAGGTTGATCTCGATGCAAATTCATTCACATCTGAGGAGCTTAAAAAGGCCTTGGCTAAAATGAAGGAAAGTGAGAAGGCAGAAAGGAAGGTGAGTTTCCCATTTCTAAAGCAATGCACATTGCAGGGATCTGAAAACACCCTGTTACACTCTGCTGAAACACAATGGTTAAAATGATTGCTTGGAAAACACTGTGCAAACTAATTTTGTGGTGAATATGGACCTAAAATACCTTTATTAACCTGTTAGTGATATTGTTCCCTGACTTTTCTGTACGACTCGAAGATTCTGTGAGTGGTTTGGGTTGGATATGACCTTAAAGCTGATCCAGTCCCACCCCTGCCATGGGCAGGGACACCTTCCACTATCTCAGGTTGCTCCAAGCCCCATTCAAGCTGGCCTTCGACATTTCCAGGGATTCAGGGGCAGCCACAGCTGCTCTGAACAATGTAATTTATCTGTTTCACTGCAGCTCAATTCACAAAAATGTCTGCAGACCCCAAAGGGAACTGGATTGCAGCTGACGGTATTTACAGAGGGTATTTCCCTTTACTCTCCTTGCTTTGGGTTTCCAACCTTGTGCTCTGGATAGCAAAACCCAAGTGGCCATGGTGAAGCCGGAGCTGATGTTTCCTTACACAAGCTCCAAGTTGTCCATTTAGTTACAAAACAACCCACAACCCAAAGTAAATAGGTGGGAAGATGTGTGACTCATCAGGTACATCAGAGCCTCTTTCCCTTCTCCCCCTCAGCAGTATTTCTTTAACCCTTGCTCCTCCTGCTGCCTTGGTCTTGGCTCACTCAAACAAAAACTGAAAGAGGAGTCAAGGCTCTAAAGTTCTGGTGTCACAGAAAGGCTTTTTCTTCCCTTATGTGGCAGCACGGCATGATTTCATTTGCTGGAGATTATTTCCATAGCAGCATTGCTGATTGATTGCAGGGCTGCTGAAAAGGGCTGCTGGAAATGAGGATCATTGAAATGCAAAAATTAGTGATACTCTATTAGGTGCAAATAAGCCATCTTTTAAAACCCCCTGTTAGAATAGCTTTTGTCCCAGCAAGTGGGCTAAAAGCAGCTACATCTAATGGACCTAAAGTATTCCATTTGCAGTCACTCCTGCAGAGAGCAAATCCATCGCTGAAGGCTCAGTGTCAGAGGAAATGGAGTTACACCGAGCCTCTCTGTGCTCTGGCAGAGGCAGCTCGGGGAGGGATGGGTTGGGTGTGGTACCTCTGGTAATTTATCATTCCATTGACACAGCTTTCACCTCCATTGCTCACTTGGTTTTCCTCCAGCCCTCTCTGATCCCTCATGGGGAGCAGGACAGTGCAAACCCTCCAGCTGAGGCTCACTCCGCATACAAACACATCTTGGCATTTGTGACAAATGCCTTCCAAAAGGGGCTTTCTGCCTTCCTCCTGTCCTTGGGGCAGCCCAGCTCCAGCATGGCCTCTCTGCTGCTTCTGTCCCCTGCAGCAGCAGGCTCTGTCCCCAGTGCCACCAGTGCTGATGTTCCTGCACCTCTGGGGCTCTCTGAGATCTCTGTCAGAGCCTTTCCTCCTCGCCACATGTTTTGTGTCAGCTCTCTGTTCAGGGCAGCCCTTGGGGTGCTGTTACTGCGAGGGAGATGAGCTCAGGACAGGCTGTGTGCTGGCCAAGCCCTATGGCACAGCATGTCAGCTGCCCCCAGCTTATCACTGCTCCTTCTGCCTCCCTTTCTGACAGCTTCTGTCCTCACACCTCTCCCTAGGAGATAGACCCTTCCAGGAATTTGCTCAACGCTTGGAAAGGCAAAAGCATCTTTGTCTGTGTCTGAGAACTCGTTAGAGTCACTGGGCACTTTGGGCTGGATGGGACCTCTGGAGCTCTCCAGCCTCATGTCCAGTTCCAGAGAGGTTCAGCTGTAAGATCAGGGAGGTGCCTCAGGGCTTTTTGCAGCCAGGTTTTGAGAAGATCCACTTGCAGGCATGCAGAGAACAGCAGTACTGCTGCCTGTGGGCTTGATGTTGAATTGGATGGAAATGGGATGTAGAAATAGTGCACAAATGCTGTAGAGATGTAGAAGTGGTGCACAGAGCTCTACTGTTCACTCATATTGTGGGTATATCACAGCTAACTGGGTTCCTGGGCTTCTCAGAAGGACCCTGCCCCTGCACTTCTGATGTAGAGCAATAAATCCATTGGCACAGACAGCCAGATTCCCTTTGTGAATTTTGGGGCTGGCATTCCTTTCTGTGTCTGTCTTGTCTCTCTTCATCTCCTCTCTTGTTATCTCACATCTGGTTTTTCCTCCTTTTGTTTCCAAGGCCCAAGAGGAAGAGGTGAGGAAGAAGTTCCGGCCCATAGAGCAGCTGAAGGAGGAGTTTGAAAAGCTGAACGTGAAGATAGAAACAGATTATTAAATTATGGTTAAATTAATCAGCAAATTCAACAGCTCTGCCTCCACGCTGGATGAGAAAGTCGCGGCGCTTTATGATTTCAAATATTACGTTCACCAGGTAACAAGAATGCCTCAGTAACTACCGTGTAAAATCCAGGGGATACAGTGTCATAAATGGGGCTTTATTTTTCTTATCAGTATCAGGTAATACAAATTGCTTAATTACCATAATCCTGGGACAATAACAAACAGCAGAGGACTAGTGCAGGCTTATTTTATATCCAGGTTGGAATTAATCATCGCTTGTGCCAGGAGCCAGCAGTATCCTGGTGGTTGCCTGATTTGTTGTCTGTTCTCAGGCTGGTTTTCTTATCCTCTCTTTTTCCTTTTTAATCTCCTTAATGTTACAAAATGGGGTTTTAGCTGCCATTTTTGGGTAAGTAGAGTGGTGGTTGCTCAGAAAATAATTATTTTCTCTCTGCTTCCATGGAAAGCTGCCGTGGTTGATGGTAGGTGCCTTTATATCAGTTCACAGAGAACGTCTTTGTACCAGGAAAGGTGACAGTCACCCAAAACCCCCTATTTTGTCTTGGTGTGAGTAAGCAGTGGCAAGCAGAGCCTCGCTGTGCTAATTAGCTCTGTGTGAGGGTGAACATATTTCCTGGCATCTCGCTTCCTCGGGTTTGTGCTCACACTTTTCCCCCCTCTCTCTGATCTCTCTTGCTCTGCTTTCAGCTCACACATTCCTACCTCCCCTTGGATGCAGCTGCAGGCACAGAGCTCTGCTCCCCTAGGCTTGGTGCCTGCCTTGGTGCCACCCCTGGGAGGGTGTTTGGGCATCCAGCCTCTGCTCTGCCGTGTGGGAAGGGACTTGGCTTCTCCCTCCCCAGTGACTGGGGAGAGTCTGGAGTGCACTGGGAGAGTTTCCAATGGCACTTTGTCATTTCAGAGGGTGAATAGGACAACTCCTGGGAGGTGCCAGTGCAAGCCCTTTCACTGGAACAGCACTTGTTGAACCAAATGTGGTATTTGGAGGCAGGTAGCTGAAGTGTTGCTGCTGTGAGAGAGAGAGTCCATGTGCCAGCTCATACAAGTGTTATTTCCAGGGCTCTTTGTCTTGAATTTCCACTCTGAATTGTCATTGTGGGCATGCAGAGGCTTCCTTGCTGTTTGTTCTCCCCGCTTTTGTGTCACTGACGGCATCTCTGTGACTCAGAGAATAACTGTGAACAATGGGCACCCAAAGAGCTTCATATTTGTACTCAGGGCTAATCTTGCCTGATTAAGGGTGCCAGAGCATCAGGCCATTGTGCTAAAAAGCAACCCCCAAATGCCCTGGCATGCCTTGAATTCCAGCATAGAAATCTGGACTATTCCAGCAGAAAATCCCTGCAGCACAGGATGGGGCAAACAATTTCAGAATGGCAGAGGAGCAGGGACTGGAGCATCAAACGGAAGCACATGCAGCATCAAAGGGGTCAGAGAGGGGGAATGGCAGGAGGCTGGCAGGAGCACAGGGGCTCCTTTGTGCGCCGATCACAGCGCTGCTCTGTGCCCGCGCTGCCGGGGCAGATGGCTGGGCAGCACCTTCTCGTCAGGCAGGAAGCTGATAAGAAATATGACTTGTCTCTAAGCCAGCATGGCTTTTCCTCATCTTTCTTCTTCCAGTCAGTTGAATGCGTCCAGAGCATTATCTCTGCTTGGGACTGACTTTAGCAGCAGTGGCTTAATGTAATTACTGAACAGCAGCCAAAGGATGCTGGTGCTGCATAACCCTGGAAGGGCTGAACTGCCAGGACTCCTCTGCAGCGAGTCACAGCCCTGCTGTGGGAGCAGGGGATCCTTGCAGATGTGGGTGGCCAAGGACTTGTGTAGGGCCACTTTGCAAGTCCCACCTTCCCCAGCCTCCATCTGAGCAGTACCATGCCGTGCCGTGGCTTTTCAGAATTGTTCAGCTCCCGGCCATCCTGCTGCTGTCTCCGGGACACAGGATGCCCTGTGGAGTGGAAAATGCCATGCCCTGGAGGGCGTGCAAGCAAAGGCTGCTCCCTGCTCTGTGCCGTGGTCACCCTGGAGCAGTGGGTGCGGGGCAGCTCGTGCCTCGGAGCGTGCCGTGGGAGCCATGGCTGGTGCCCAGCCCGGGGAGATGCTCTCTCCTGCCTTTGAAGAGTCAGCCCAAGGGCTCTGCCTTTGCTCAGCTTTTGGTTGCCAGCTCTGGTTTGCTTCTCCTCAGCCACGATTCAGCTTGGCATGTTTGGGAGCCCGTCTTGGAGAAGGAGTAGGAAGGTTTGGCTTGCTGGGTTATGTGTAACGCATAAAACCCAAATGCAAATGTGAAGAGGGCAGAGCGTAACTCATAAACAACATTCATGGTGCTTGCACAGCAGTGTGTGGAGCCAAGACCCGTTCTCAGGCATTGCAGGCTCTTTCTCTCAATTATTTACTCTGCTTATCTTCCCCTCTCCTCTGCTCTGACATGCTACACCATCTCTCTCTGCTAATTTCCTCTCCATCGTGTGCAGTTGACATGCTGCTTTCCCTCGCTCTTGTTTTCTAATATTTTCTCTCTCACCTTCCCTCCCTATTTTCTTTCTCCTCCAATTCAAACCTGCTCCCTGAATAACTGCTGTCATATTTGCTCTTCTCCCATCCCTCCCCTTGCCTGCTTTGCCTGTGTACTTTACTCAAGAGCTCTTTTGATCTTTGGTTTTTCTTCTGTGCTGATTTCAGTGGACTGAAGTGAGGTAGAAGCTGCTGCCTTGCAGCATCCACTGTTCCCCAGAGAGGTTAATACCTTCAAGTTGTTAAGTTTGGGGATTTTGTTAGTTTTAGAACTGGAGCTCTCACAACAGACTCTGGTTAAAAAAGATAAACACATCTTCAGAATAAGCTTTACAGCACAACAGCACAATTTACATTCTGCTGTTGTGGTGTCTCACTGACGCTGGGGCAGCACAAAGGACTCTGGTGCTGTTGAGGTTACAGCAGGGGATGGTTTTACCACTCCAGCTGCTGGATGCAAATTCCTGCCTGTCCATATATTCCCTCTCATGCAGAAGTCAATGTCTGATTCCAGCACTAAACCAGTTTTTACAGAGGCTGAGCAATAAAAGGACCCACTGGCAGCTGAAATTGGGTTGCTGCATAGATTTCTTTGTAGATAAAGATGGGTCTGTAGAAAAGTGAGAGCTCTGGCAGGCCTGGTTTATAGGGACAGTTAAAAGAACAGCATCTGAAAGGATACAAAAGCTGTTGCAAATCCTGAATCAGCCCCAGCAGACCTGCAGAGAGCAGCTTTGCAGAGGGACAGGTGGGTATTGTCCCACTGGGGAGCAGAGATGAGCTGGAGCTCCCCAGGTCCTGCTTTGGTTGGTAACGACAGACCTGTAGGACACAAAGCTTCTTCTTCTCCTGGGTACCTGAAATATCTGACTTAGGGCCAATTTTGATGAAGGTACATGGTTGAGATAAAAATAACACTGAGCATGAAGTCATTGATTAGAAGAGGGTCCCACATGCCCTGCATGGCTTGTGGTCCTGTTCCACCTCATCAGGGGGTCGGCTTGCCCTGCTGATAACTCATTTTTATATTCTGTTTCCATCAGCCAATGATTGCTGTTGTGTCCCTGTCTTTCAGAGAGATATGTCGAATTTCTAAACCTGATTTTTCTGTGCAGGCAGAAACTGATTTTTCTGTGCAGGCAGTTCTGAGCATTCATCAGATCCTCTTTTAAACTGAAAAAAAAAAAATCATTGAATACCAAAATGCATTGATTTGACTTTGGACTGAATTTTGTACTTGAAGTAGTTTGTGCTGTTTCTCTAAATTTTGTCTGTGAGCACTCAGAGCCTTTTCTGATCTCCTCTCCAAGAGCAGATGCCCACTGGGACTGTGCCTGGCTAGCCCCTGATCCACTTAGAGCCAGAGGCTGATGAATTCCCACTAATGTGCAAACTTTTCCCTACTGGCAGTTAATCCATTATTGTTTGCCTAGAAAAGTCATTGTGGGGCTGCTCCCTGGGGAAGCTCCTGGATGACCCCTCCAAGCTGGGACTGGCTTTTTCCTTCCTTGTCCATGGGAAGTTGGAGATGGAACTCATGGAGAACTCCCAGAACTGCCAGAATGCTGTGGGTGTGAAGGGAGGTGTTCTCCAGGGGCTGGGGCTTTGTGCTGATGGAAGCTGCTCTCTCCCAGGTGGACAAAGCCAAGGATTTCCTGTCCATGGGTGGGCTCCGGCTGGTGATCGAGGAGCTGAACAGCAGCGAGGCCTCGCTAAAGGAACACGCTGCCTTTGTCCTGGGAGCTGCCCTGTCCAGGTGAGACCTGCCCTCACCTGGGCTCTGTGCCTCTCTCCACCTCCCTTGGTTTATTTCTGATAGCAGAGACCAAAAGCTGTGTTGTGACACACCACAAAACTGTCTTGTCCCCGTCCTCACCCTTGCAACATCTGTTTCCCCTTCTCCTCAGTGTGTCCTTATCTTGCTCATTGGACACATCCAGAAGTAATGTGGTGTCAAATCCATGATTGTTTCTTGGTTTCCCTGGGCTCCCTGTTTCTACAAAGTCCAAGGAAGGAATAATTCTCCTTCTGTCCCACTGACAGCTCTCTCTGGGGGAAGATGTAACAGAGGGTACAGTTACAAGCACCCCAGTGAGCACCTTTGTCCTTCCTCATCCTTGCTCCTGGGCTGCCTCAGGATGGCAAGGGGCTGATTTGAGCAGCTCCCATGGTCTTTAGAGAGAGATTTGGGCCCCATGAACACGTGCCTCTGACATCAAAGGCATGTTGATTAGATGTGGGGTCAGGAATAAGGGTCAGCAGCCAGAATCCAGAGGAGACTGACCTGCAGAATGTTTGAGGTTCAGGGGAAGGAGCCTGCTCTTCCTTATGCTGGGGCATCCTGTCTAGTGCTGGCTACAGGAGGTATCCTGTGGGCTCCATGGGTTTTCCTGGTGCCCCTTTTCTGATTTATGGGTTTTG